CCCTGTGATAGACTGGTTACCTGTCCAGGTGAACCTGCCTTCACCCTGAGTCAGCTGGGATAGACTCCAGCCCCCCATGACCCTAGTGAGGATTAAGGTGTAGAGATGATGGATGGATGGATATTCTTTGGTGTCCTTGTTGCTACTGCTTTTCTTTAAGTCCAAGATTTTCAAAAAATATCTACTCCAGGATGGAGATTGCCGCTCCAGGAAAATTCGACTAAATTAGACTTTGCTTGCTTCTGACGATACGAGGAATCATTGTCTTTCTGGAGAGTTCAGTGATGACCAAGCTTCAGTTTAAGCACTGATGTTTGTGGTTATTAACTCCTCCCTGGTCTCTGTTCTCTCTTTTCTCTGTGTCTCAGCCGCTCAGGAGACATCATTGAACCTCTCCTAAAGAAGCAATGGTTTGTCCGCTGTGATGAAATGGCTAAAAAAGCCATACAGGTGAGGCTGTGAGACGTTGGTGTCAGCCACGATGCAGTCATTATTGTATTATCATCATGTAATCGTGGTAGTATCAGTATTCAAGTCATGTCATCGCTTCCTTAAAATCTCACATGTGAAGAAGTCTGGCTTTTTTCTTTCAGGCTGTCGAGGACGGACGGCTGGAGATCATTCCTCACTACTACACCAAGACGTGGAACAACTGGTTGTCAGATATCAGGTGGATGTCTTTAGAGTTTGACAAACTATCAGAACAGTGATGGGAGGAAGAATAATGGTAGTGTGTGCCATCGTTACTGGTGTGACGTGACACCACTAAAATGATGAATGAGCTCTTGTTTCAGTGTTTCGGTGCCAACAATGTGGCTCTGTTTGCTCCGCAGTGATTGGTGTGTGTCCAGACAGCTCTGGTGGGGTCATCAGATCCCTGCTTATCAAGTGGAGCTTCCTGATTCTACAGACAAACAAGAAGTTAGTCTGTTTATCTTTATATTCTTATGCTGTAGAATGTTAGGTTTGTGTGCTATCCTTGTGTTACGTTGGCAGGATTGTGTTTTTTCCTGATGCAATCCTTAGCAAAGAAAAACTGAAATGAAAATGAATGAGTTGATGCTTCCCATCGCAGCACAACAGCGGCGTCAGTCGGCTCCAGAGTGTAAGTTTCTGTGTTGTTGCCTGTGACAGGAGCAGTGGATTTGGGGACACAGCGAGGATGAGGCCCGGCAGAGAGCTGCTGTCAAATATGGAGTGAAGCCCGAAGCCATCACGCTGACTCAGGGTGATTAATGTCCGTCTTCAGCCTGAACCTGTTGCTGGTGTTTGATGGACGATTGTAGCCAGACACACCCAGTACTGATCTGATACAGGTGTTTAGGTATATCTTTACTGTTAGTGGCCAAAAAATGTGCTTATCGTACCATGTGCCGATAAAATATGTGCGTACATGACAACAAGAACAAATGTTGAGATCTGAGGTCATTTAGAAACAGCACTGCCACCACATACAGTCAGACAGAATTCAGACCCCATCACTTTTATTTACTGTGATTTATTTTGAAATGGGTAAAAGTGTTTTATTCCATTAATCCATCAAACGCAATAACCAGCAATAATTAACTGATTGAATACAGATGAGCAAAGTAAAAACCTGTTTATAGTTTGTGACAAAATGTGATAGATGGATAGATGGATAGATAGATAGATAGATAGATAGATGGATAGATGGATAGATGGATAGATGGATAGATGGATGGATAGATGGATAGATGGATAGATAGATAGATAGATAGATAGATAGAGAGATTAGCGATAGATAGAAACAGCAGCCCATAAAGTGTGCTGTTCAGTGTCTTATTTCAGAGTCTGCCCATCTGTTTTCTATACCTGCTGACACTGTCTGGGGGGGACGTAGGACATCCTGGAGTGGCTCAGGGTCTGAATCATTTGGATTTTGATATAGTTTGCAAAAAAAATCAGTTTCACTTTCTTGTTGTGTGTTTTTTTTTTTTTGCACATTGATTGCAAAAATTCTAATTTTTACAAATTTAAGATTAAATGTGCAACACAGTAACCTGCACCAAAACTGAAGGGGCCTGAAGTGCTTGAAGCGGAACAGATTTCTGACGTGACTCAGCGCGACGTAGAAGTCGATGACCGCCGATATAAGGCCAAAAGAACGGAATCACATTACCGTAAATCCCGGACTATAAGCCGCTACTTGTTTCACGCGTTTTGAACGCAGCAGCTTAAACAACGATGCGGCTAAGTTATGGATTTGTACCAATTTGCCTCGAGACCAAAGTGACACTGAGACCGACGACGACAGAGAGACTGAGGAAGTGATGAAGTGATTCTGAGGCTGAAGAAGACGACTATAGTGGTTTTAGTGCAGGAGGAAGATGAAGATAGCGATCAATGACTTTTCCTGGTAGGCTGCTGTAGTTTTTATTTCCTTGCCGTGTTACAGGCGCTGTTCAGAAAAAAAAAAAAGTTAGTGGGTGCGGCTTATATTCAGGTGCCTCAATAGTGCGGAAATTGCGATAAAATGTGATTTCTCTTTACATTATATGACAAAAGTGTGATTAAATATTTACGATAATTCTTCCCCCTGTACCAGACTCTGATGTCCTAGACACGTGGTTCTCCTCGGGGCTGTTTCCCTTCGCCATGCTTGGCTGGCCAGAGCAGGTACTTCCTCCAGCACATAGAAATCAAAAACCCCTCAGCAACCCTGTATTCCTCACCCAGTCCTCGCTTTCCACAGACCGCTGATGTTCAGCACTTCTATCCTAACTCTATCCTGGAGACAGGCAGCGACCTTATTTTCTTCTGGGTGGCCAGGATGGTGATGCTGGGGACAGAGCTGACCGGACAGCTGCCCTTCAAACAGGTACTTTCATCATAAGGAGGAACTCCTAAACAACAGATGGATGAATCACTGCATCAGCTGATCCTGTTCTTCTCTCTCCCATTTCTGTTCCTGTTGTGCCTCTTAGGTTCTGTTTCATTCTTTAGTCAGAGATAAATACGGCAGAAAAATGAGTAAATCTCTGGGAAACGTCATCGACCCGTTGGATGTTATACACGGAGTCTCTCTGGAGGTAGGTACCGCATGGGCTTGGTGCAGCAGGCATGGTGATGTCTGTCACACTGAACCAAAACGATGGATTTAAATGCTCGATCATAAAGACTCAAATCAATCAATAGAAACTTTAACTATGCAAGTGCACAAAAACCTAGCGTGATCTGCTCTGTGCTGGGAAGCAGTTCTAGTCTGGGGATGCTTTTATTATCGTCGTCGGTCCAAACACATTCAAAGATGGGAATTAGAGACTTGTCAATACTGATCGTTTTCAAGGTCAAATATGTTTTAGTTAAAAGATGTAGCATGGTTTCATTTCGAGGAGTCCACTTGATGTAAGAGATCTGCAAAGAGGTTAAAACACAACTTACGGGAGAGAGAAAAGACAAAGTGAATGGTGAGCAAACGGTCTGGGGACTGAATACTGTAGACAGGGCCGGGATGTTAAATGGACCTGTATATCTGATTTGTCGAAAACAGAAGAATGTTAAATAACCTGTGTTGTTCTTGAAGGTTTTGCTCGTATCACAGGAGTTATTGAGGTGTCCTTCCCATTAGTCGACCGATATCTGTAAAAAAGTAGCAGCCAGCAGAGAACTGCTTTTGTGAGAAACTGTGTTCTGGTTTTATTTTTCATGAAGCTGTAAAAATGCATTAATGTCTGAAGTTAAGGAGGCTCTGCTGTAGCTCACCTGGTTGAGCAGGTGTCCCATGTGTAGGGGCTATAGTCCCCAATGCGGAGGTCATGAGTAGGAATCCCACTCATGACCCTTCTCAGCAGGTTCTTCTCCCCACTTTCCTTTCTCTATCTTGACTGCACTATCAAATAAAGGCAAAAAGGCCAAAACAATAAATTAGGAAAAAAAAGAAATAGAAGTTAAGGAGAGTGAAGCCGGCACATGGGCTTTTTCTGCCTGAGAGGATTTTCTGTTACATGATCTCAGTCCAGCTGATAGAAGAACAGGAACCAGCTCTCTGTTATATGTTTCATTGTGAAACTCTTTCCTTGCAGAGACTTCAGGAGAAGGTGAAGGAGGGAAACCTTGAACCGAGGGAGCAGCTCGTTGCCATGGAAGCACAGGTCGGTTCCTTTCTCTCCTTCCTCTTTCTTTCTGAGCACACTCATCACTTCCTTCTTTATATCCGTCTGCTCCATCTGCTGCTCCGCAGACGAAAGACTTCCCCAACGGCATCCCTCAGTGCGGCACCGATGCTCTGAGGTTTGCTCTCTGCTCTCACAAGATGCAGGGTGAGTGACTCTCGTCTCTGTCTGCTGGACAATAACTGTCCATGGATCAGTTTTAGTTGAGATGGGTTCCGAGGGACTGTAGAAAGACGTTACTCACCTGTTTGGTACAACCACAGTGAGACATTTAGCCACAAGACAAGCGATGCAGGAGGGCGTTTGATTTAAAGTCCCTGCAAAGCGTCGATCTGGACTCGCCCCATCAGTGGAGGAATAAACATCTAATCACAGGCAGAGGTATTTTTACATCACTGTGGGCTGAGAACAAACAAAATGATCTACAGACTGTAACAGCAGCTCCACTGAAGGCACACACTGTTTAATTTTATCTCTTTTTTAAAGTTTGAAATAGATCAGATCTCACAGACACACAATATTCACTTTATTAGCTGGACTTTCCTGCACTGGCACCAGTGGTTCTGTAGGTTGTAGGTTAAAGGGTAAAACCACAATATGGCAGTAATCACTGGTGCTAGTAGTGCACAGCTAATCACTGTGTCTATAGACCCTCCTGCTGAGTGTTTACTTCGTCTTTCTGTCCCTTTATCAGGAGAGGACATCAGTCTGTCCGTCTCTCAGGTCCTGGGCTGCAGATTCTTCTGTAATAAAATGTGGCAGACCCTGAGATTCACACTGGGAGTGCTGGGCGACAATACAACACCAGTGGGAACGCTGGAAGAGGTACACCCAAGTCCCCTGTTTGGACTGCATGTTCATTTTTGTATATATTGTGATACTAATCGTGGAATGAGGCCAAACCTTTCTCTGATAAGCTGTATGGAACAGAGATTGGTATAGTTTTGACAAAGACACCTGGCTTCTGCTGTCCCTCTATCTATCTGAAGTTCTCTCAAACACTCAGTTATCACATTTCCTAAAATGTTGGATTTTTCATTTTAAAATACCACCCATAAGCACATGCTGTCACCACTTAGGCTGCAGCAATGATGGCGCTCTTTTATGGGGTTCTTATGAATTACAGAATCACCTTTTTGTGTGTTTTCATACTTTATCACAATTGCAGATTGTTATTTGATATGAAATAACAAAATCTGAGTGATCTACTCATGTTTTAAGTTCTGTAAAAATCAATCAAAACGAGTAAAAAGTGTGAGTGTATAAAATCAATATTTTGGTCCCAAACAAAGAACAACATGTCGATGAAGCTCCATTTCAGGATGTAGCTTCATTAAATATGATTTTTTTTTTTGTGCAGGAATTTGCCGTGTAGCTCGAGTGTTGAGTTCTGAGAGAGGTACTGAATGCACTGCATAAATGGTTCTTGCCTTTTGCAGTGTGTTCCTCTGAGCAGCATGGACCGGTGGATCTGCTCCAGACTCCACAGCACAGTTCTTCAGTGTGAGCAGGCTTTCGAAGCTTATGAGCTGCACACCGTCACAGCCGCCCTGTACTCCTTCTGGGTCCACAGCCTGTGTGACGTCTACCTGGTGAGGAGCAGCACTTTGGCACCGCATTGTGGATGCAATTTGAACTAAATTTTAAAATAATAATAATAACAATTAGTGATGCACGATATTAAAATTTCTGGCTGATACTGATATCCGATATAAAGGTTTCTGATATCGCCGATAATCACTGATGTCAATATTCGGTTTTTGTTCACACTGAAAAATGAGTAGAAGTATAGACTGCGAGAACATGAAAACTATTATATCAGCAATCTTAATGTCTGATATCAGTATCGGCCAAAAATCTTAATATCGAATATCAGTATCGGCCAAGAATCTTAATATCGTGCATCACTGTATATTTACCTGACTTATTGATGGAATCAGGAGGCTCTGTGTCCTGGATCGACAGAAGCAGATGTACCTGAATAAAACTCCGGTGTTTGCGGTGAGCTGATGGTTGGAGGTGTAACCGTCTGTAACCGGCTTTGTGTGTCTGTAGGAGTATTTAAAACCTGTGCTGGCGCAGCAGGACGCAGGGACGGCGGCCCAGACGGCCAGCGCTGTCCTCTACCACTGTGTGTCCACGTCTCTGGCTCTGCTCTCCCCCTTCATGCCTTTCATCACTGAGGAGCTGTGGCAGAGACTCCAACCTTTCAGAGCCGGAGCTGCTGCCCCGACCAGCCTGTGCTTACAGCCGTACCCTCGCTCCTCTCAGCTGGTAGGGCCACAACCACAACAACAGGAATATCTACATTGTGATTCCACCACAGTTTCACTGATGTTGCCTCATGTGTTGCCCATATTTGATACAGAGACCTCCAGAGGAAGAACATATTTCCTCACTTTTCTTTCTGTATGTAACCAAGTAGATGACTTTTGTTTTATTTGTGAAGGTGTCCAGAAATCTGCTGCCACACCAATACAATGGAGGTGGATGGCGTTTCATTGCCACACTGAAAAAGTAGTTGACAAATCCACCAGAAACAGTAAAACTCTGGACTTTACACAGACCCAGGGTTAGTTTGGGGACCAGATTCTGTTTTCTATGTTCTAGTTAAGTTAGTTTTAGCTGACATGTGTGGTCAACAAAAAGTTTTCTCTGGGTGGAGAAGTGGAGAGGCAGATGGAAGATCAAACCAGAGAGTCTGTCCAGGTCATGGTAACCCTAACAGCTTTAATACAGAAGACCAGTGGACTTCAAAGAGACTAGAAGTATCGGTACAGTTGTCCTCTAGTGAAGCTCTAATCTTCTATTTTATTCTACACGTTCCTCTTTATTTCCAAGAATTACATTAATGTAACTCAACTGCGACTACACGAGACAGGAGACGACAGCTTTGACCTGCAATGGTGCCATAAAAAGTCTTCATTTTATAGGGAGGTTTATGTTGGAGAGATGTGGTCTCCTTGCCGGTTCCTGTCAGAACTACTTTCTGCAGTGTTTTGGATCCACTGGAGATTTTGCGACATCCTGAAAACAGTTCCTACAATAGTCCAGCCTAAAAGTTCTTAGTGCACGGACATCTTTTTAGCACCGCTGTGTGACCGGATGTTCCTCATGCTGACAATGTGAAAGGAGGCCATCCTAGAGATGTGTTTAATGTGTGAGTTAAAGGACACATCCTGTTCAGAAATAACTCCAAGGCTCTCCTCAGTCGTACTGGAGGCCTCAGCAGTGCCATCCAGAGTGAGTGTGTGGTCAGAGGGGGTGTCTTTGAGGTGCTCAGGACTAAATGTCTAGAAGTCAGTCATCCAGCCTGTGTGTGACACAAATGAACTGTATCTATTATAACAGGAGCCTTCACCACCTTCTGTATGTGGTTTAGTAATGGCCATCTAAGTTGTACATTGTGTAGATTTTTTTATTCTTATTATTTAACCTTTATTTAACCTGGAAAAGGCTCATTGAGATTAAAAATCTCCTTTTCAAGAGTGTCCTGGCCGAGACAGGCAGCAGCACAACTGACAGACAAACAGCATCCATACAGACATCACACTCATAATACAGTGAGATTACATCTAGAAGAAAGAAACCAACACATCAGCAGAGATCAGAAACTAGCAAAAATAATTGTCTGTCAGAACATCTACAGCCTGATGTTTCTGCCTCCCAGTCATTTAAAAGCACTTTAAAGATGTTTAAAGAGAGCAGCTCTTGAGTTCCAGGTCTTTCTGTGAAGTGTTCCAGGTGGAGGAGCAGCCATTTAAAAGCTTTGTGTTCTGACCCTGGGAACAGACAGTAACAGCAGATCCTGGGACTGCAGACCGGAGCAGCTTCAGTACAAATAAAAACCTGTAAATAATGAGGAAGCGAGCCTAAAATACATTTATAAATTAAAGTATGTCAGTGTTTTTTTCCTGTGTAGATATGTTCAGAAGTCACTGACACTCGACAGTGAAGGCCACAGTCAGCTCAGTCACTTCTTCCTCTTCACTTTGCTGATTTGCTTGTTTTTACTGATAAATGTGTATTTTTTGGTGGGATTTTCCACTTTCCATGTGTTTCAGCTGACGTGTTGTTTTGTTAACCTCTCCATCCTGCCAGGCTCACTGGCATTTTCCTGAAGAGGAAAAAGATTTCCTGCTGGTCCAGAAAGTGATCCGAGTGGCCCGCTCGCTACGAGCCCAGTGTGGCCTGAACAAGGAAAAGCCCGTCAGTAAGTCAGCAGCTGGAAGCTCCTGTTTCCCCACTGAGCACTCAACAACTGCTAGAATCCAGTTATATGTGGGCGCAAACTAAACTGATGACAAATTCCTAAAAACATCAAACACCTAAAATAATAGAAGGTGTTCACATAGCTTGTATGTTGTGTTCCAGTGTGGGCCGTGTGTTCTCCCCGCCAGGCCCAGGCCCTCCTCCACTTTGGCTCCGCTGTTTGGACTTTAAGCCAGATCTCCAGCCTCCAGATCTACTGTCCTGATGGAGCAGACGATCTCCTCTCTGCCCACTCCACTCCTCCACCTAGAGGAAGCCTCGCCGGGGTGGTGGACCACACCTGTCAGCTACACCTTCATGTCCAAGTACGTATCGGCTTCCCTCAGCTCCTGCACCATCCATACTCAGCTCTTTCACTTTCTCCTTTCCCTTCAGCGTGTTAATATCGCTGCTGTTTCTGCATTTAACTGATCCACAAACTCACTGATGTAGGAGTCCAGAGCACAGTGAGTTGTTCTGCCTGAAATGCTTCATGTGAAATCCAGGTTTTTCTTTCATTACTTACAGTATATAAAAAAAGTAAGTGTTTAAAATCCTTTTTTCACAAATGACCTGTCAGCGATTGTGTTATTGTTTAAGGTTAAGTTCCAGAAGTGATAAGAAGCATTTTTCAGTATCATCTGACACGTTACAGGCAAAATTATTGATCAAAGACATTTTGAAACTGCAAAAATCAGACAAGTAGCAGCTGTGATCATTCTGTTCTTCGGCCTTAAGCTAGATTCCAAGTTCTTGTTATCTCTGTTTATCCACCTCCTAAAACAAACAGACTCATGATGCAGAACACAGGCTGGAAGCTGTAGCCTCATTGTCTACAGCCACATGTGTACAGCTCAGTGTGCTGCTGTGTTCAAGTGCTTTAGGTTCTGTGGTGACAGTAAGATTGCTGCTCATGTGACACGTTGTGGGATTTCTCCTCACAGACTGAAACGAACGTCGATCAGCAGATCCTGCAGCTGTCTCAGCAGAAAGCCAAGCTGGTTCCAAAACTGGAGAAAATTCTTTGCAAAGTTCAGTCTTCAGACTACACGACCAAGGTTCCTGCTCATGTCAGGCAGACGATGGACAGCACGGTGAGCACTGGGCAGGGAGGTGCAGAGGAGGGTTTTCTTTATCTTATTGGTTGTTATTGATCTAAACCTGTGGAAATGGGTAGTTTCTGTATGAGGTTTGTGTTTACACTGCAAGAAAAACTGAATGACTCAGAGTGTAGTTAACCTCCTCACCAGCCACTTCCCACTTTCATCCAAACCGATTCTTCTTTTTTGCAGGAAGACATTTATAGTTTTGCACTGTTGTTCTGTCAGTCTGTCACCACTTTGGTTCAAACTAAGATATGAATCTTTATAAGTATCGGATGCATTGTCATGAAGTTTGTCGCAGGCATTTGAGGATGAAACTCAGTGATTTCAGTAATGAAAATCTTTACTTATTCAGTTAAATATCGCTGTTTATACTGGATTGATTGGCACGTGATGTCATTCTCCTGCTGCTCAGACGAGATAGCGTCAGTGATCCTTTGACTTTTCCTCTAGTCAGACTACAGGGTTGCTGTTGGTAGGTTGTGACCAGAGGTCAGCCACTACATTTTTTTCCAGGGTCAATGCTGATTATTAGTAATCAAGGAGACTGCAAACCAATATTTGGAACTGATGTACAGCGCTTAACAACTTTATTAGACCACCACCCACTGTCAGGTTTATGCCACAGCTGCCCTAAACTACCAGCATCATTCAGTCTGTTTCTGTAATGGTTAATACACCAGTATGTAGACGCTCTTTAACCAGAATGATATTTTTAATAATTGATTTAATAACTGATTTAGGGCAGCTGTGGCATAAACCTGACATCGGGTGGTGGTCTACTAAATGTGTTAAACGCTGTACATCTATGAAAGAACCACATGCATGTGTTTCAGTGATTCTATCATAGAAAACCCAGAGCAGCCGTCGGCATCAAGGCAGCCTCGATACACGTGGTCTTTACAAGTGTATGTAAACTTCTGTTCATCACTGTACTTACTGTATTTATTTATGTTAATAGTTTAATATTTGTCGCTCTGCCGTGTGTCATCAGGTGTCAGCTCTGCAGCAGAAACTGCAGACCATCGAGGACCAGCTGAAGGAGCTGCAAGAGATGCAATGAGCAGAACAACTGCATCAACGTGCATTATAGAAATGGCGTGGACTGCTGGACATCACAACTGATGAACTTACTATTTATTATGCTGCTATTTAAAGATCTCTACCCTGCTGGCATGAAACACTGCAAAGCATCAATCGGTTGTTGCAGGATCTCACTGCATATCCACCAGGTCAGCTGAAGACAGAGTCAGGACGAGCTGCAGCTATCCAGCGACAGTTTGTGAATGTTTTATGGACGTTTTCAGTTTATTCAGCGTCATTAGTCGCTGGTAAAGTATTTGTTTCCTGTCCTGGCCTTTTAAGAGTTGGCTTTCCTTTCATCGATCCTACGTATTGATCATTCTTTTCAAAATAAATGTGTATTTCCTAAACTTGACCAAATGTTTTAAGAGGCTTGCTGGGGATGTCATAAAAGTAGGAATCATATTAGGCTGACTTTCCTGTGAACACAAATTCAGTTGTGGAAAACTTCAGGATGCACAGGTGTGTCCTCGCTGTATCGTCCAAGCCGTTTCTGAATCCATGACATACACCTGGAATGTACAAATGTACTATGTTGGGGGAAGGACTCACAGATGTGTGTATGTTATTTATATCACACATTCCCCTTGTCTCATTAACTAATTGCACGTTCTCGATTTCTTTCCTGGACTCCTCTCCTTGCTTTTGGGTGCTTCCCAGCAGAGATGGTGGGGAGGAGGAGGAAGAGGTGAGAGATGATTCGAGGCGGCAGGTGTTCAACCAAAGGAGACATCCTCGCAAAATCAATTAATTATAAATTGTGGCACAGCTGCATCACCTGTCCACCGTTTTATTATAACCTACCACTTTATGATCTCTGTCAGATGAGCAGAATGGTGGTAATGACAACACACAGAAGTCACAACATGGCTGAACATGAAGAGAATCTACAGATTTTACACATATTTTTTTCTATTTAGCACACAGGAAGAGTGACATGAATATATATATATGTGTGTATATATGTATACACAGACAACACTGCAGAGATGACACTTTGCTGCCATGTACAGTAGTCAGGGTGCAGCTTGTTTAACTGTAAATCCACTGTCCCCTCATTATAACTCAATAAACAGCCATTAATGTCTAAACCTCTGGCAGAAAAAGTGAGAATAGTTGGGCCAGCTAGCCATTTTCCTTCCCTGGTGTCATGTGACTTGTTGGTGTCACCAGGGCTCAGGTGTGAATGGGGAGCAGGTGTGTTACATTTGGTGTCATGGCTCTAACACTCTCGCATACTGCTCACTGGAAGTTTAACATGGAGCCTCATGGCAAAGAACTCTGAGGATCTGGAAAACAGAATTGTTGCTCTACATAAAGATGGCTGAGGCTGTGAGAAGACTGTTACCCCCTGAAACTGAGCAGCAGCACGGTGGTCAAGGTTCCACTCAGAACAGGCCTCGCCATAGTCCACCAAAGAGGTTGAGTGCATGTGCTCAGCGTCATATCTAGAGGTTGTCTTTGGAAAGTAGACATATGAGTGCTGCCAGCCTGCTGCAGAGACTGAAGGGGTGGGGGGTCAGCTTGTCAGTGCTCAGACCAGACACTGCATCAAACTGGTCTGCATGGCCGTCATCCCAGAAGGAAGCCTCTTCTAACGATGATGCACAAGAAAACCCACAAACAGTCTGCTGAAGACAAGCAGACTGAGGACATGGATTACAGGAACCATGTCTTGTGGTCTGATGAGAACAAGATAAACTTATCTGGTCCAGATGGTGTTGAGTGTGTGGCGGAAACCAGGTGAAGAGCACAAAGGCAAAAATGTCTTGCCTCCAGTCCAACATGGTGGTGGAAGTGTCATGGTCTGGGGCTGCATGAGTGCTGCTGGCTCAGGGAGCTTCAGGTCACTGAGGGAACCATGAATGCCAACATGAACTGTGACATCCTGAAGCAGAGCAGGATCCCCTCCCTTCGGAAACTGGGCCGCAGGGCAGTAGTCCAACATGTCAACGACCCCAAACACACCTCCAAGACAACCACTGCCTGCTGAAGAAGTTGAGGGTGAACGTGATGGACTGGCCGAGCATGTCTCCAGACTTAAACCCTGTTGAACATCTGTGGGACATCCTCAAACGGAAGGTGGAGGAGGTCTCTGACATCCACCAGCTCCGTGATGTCATCATGGAGGAGTGGAGGAGGATTCCAGTGGGAACCTGTGACACTCTGGTGAGCTCCATGGCCCAGAGGGTTAAGGCAGTGCTGGAGAAAAATGGTGGCCACACTGTAGGCATAGTTTGGACACACTCACTTTTGTTGCCCACGGTTTAGACATTAATGGCTGTGTACTGAGTGTACATACACTACCGGTCAAAAGTTTTAGAACACCCTAATTTTTCCAGTTATTTATTGCAATTCAAGTTGTGCAATCCAATGAATAGCTTGAAATGGTACAAAGGTAAGTACTGAACAG